AAGGATTTCGAAGACACGCTGTACATCAACTTGCGACATGGGTAGTTCGCATGTGTGAGGTGAACAAATAGGGCCGTAGCTGCCGAAGCGCACTCTTTTCGTAGCCCAGAGATGCCTGGTAATGAAGCGTGGAGGAGGATGGGGGGGAGGGGAAGGAGGATCAGGAATAATTCTGTATGTTTCCTTTGCCTCCCGAGATTGGAAGAAATAGTTCAATGTTAACTACAGCTCCACCAGCACATTACGCTACTGGTGCGCAACACACCTTGCTTGAATGTAGCTAGGCCGAACGCACAACTTCCGCACCCTCTAACCACTGGATGAGGCGTCATTGCTCTCTACAGCTTTCTGGCTGTGCCCTTGGACAGCGTTCCTACACCTTCGCTGCTAGACCTGGGCAACGAAGATTCTCGTTATTTTTGTGACAAACAAGGCGATCACTGTGAAAAGGGTCGTTCAGCAAAGGAGATGACGTTCATAGAAATGCTGTCGTACATTAGGTCAAAAAAATAAGTTCGTGTCACCATAGAAGGAGAAGCCAATTTTAGAATTTTTAAAATTCGATTTCTTGACTTTGCTGAAGTCAAGAAATGCAAGCGAATGCATTGCTGTTCATATCCTTTCACCCTCTTCTACTGAGTTCATGAATATTGTGGAATGTTGTTTGATATTCGCTGAAGTAGACTAGGGTACGAAGTTTCTAATCGGAGCGATTATGGAAGAACATGGGGCTTAAGAATTTACATGCATATTTCAAAGGAATGAGGCAGAGATAGTGTCCGCCCAGGCCAACCAAGCCTTCTACCCTCCGGGGACGGTAAATTGGTACCAGATTCGTCTGGGAGGATAAAACACTGACTTGTACATCGGCTGGCCCCGCAAGTCATTGTATAGGCCACATCGCATTCAATAAGCCACTACGATTCTGAATGGAAGTAGAATGCGTGCCGCATCCCACAAAGGGATTGATCAACGACGAAGACTTTGTCCTATCTCGAAGGAATGGAAACAATGCAGATAAAGGAATTTGTGAGCACTGAGCTAGTCCGAATTCTGCTCGCGGAAGCAACCGGAGGATATCTCCCTGATTCACTGCGGAATAATGTAGGGAATCTTCACGGGGGGATCTACTAAGAGGGGAAAAGCAGGCGGCAAATGGTCTCTCAACACAATATGGTCCGGGATGGAATTTCTGAATAGAAAACTGCCATAATTCTCATATTTTTTGGCTGTGACCATAAACTTTAAGGGGATTGCTCCGTGCAATCCGTCGAATAGAATGAATGTGTGGCGCTGTTTGTCGACGGGGGGGGGGCATTTTGTACTATCATTGCTTCCTCAGTTCCAGTTTACATGTCTTACACTGGCGAAAAAGGTAGTCAAGTCATCTTGTTAAAACCTGTCAACTCGAGAAGAGGCTGTCTAGACAGGCCGACACGTCGTTGGGAGGTAGCAAAAGTGCAAAATGCCCCCTCGTCGACAAACTGCGCCTGAATGTGTATTGGAAATAGTATTACTTTGCAAGCAAAATGTATAGGTAGTGAGCTTCAAAAAACGTATAGTTGAATGCCGAGAACCGGGCAAATGCCGTCTTCAGCAGCCCTCAACAAGTTGTCCACTCGCATAGTAGTCAGACTAGCTAAAATCT